CGTGGAGCAAGGTGTCGTCCGCGTAGCAAATTAGCGAGCAACCTTCGGGAAGGACGGTCCGGGTGAGGATGCAGTCGTAGGCGATATTCCAGAGAAGCGATCCGAGGACCGCCCCTGGGGCACGCTGCAGAAAACGTCCGCCGTTTCCGTCGTTTCGTTCGGCTTCTCGTTCGAAATCTTCCTCTCCGAAGGGAAGGACCCTATTAACGACACGAGATAGTCGGGAACGGACATCGAAACCAGTCCATCCCATATCGCGGACCACGGAACGGAATTGAAGGCGTTTTTCACGTCGATCGCGACTCCACCCCGGCGGAGAGTTTCCTTTATCTCGTCTCGGACTCGAACGAGCGCGTCGATCGTGGAACGGCCCGCCCGGAAACCGTATTGATTCAGGGTGAGGTCATTCCTCCCTCCGTCCGCCCCCATTTGACCGATTATCCGCGACGCCACGACGCGCTCGAACAACTTACCCGCCACATCGTGAAGGTAAATCGGCCGATAAGCGCCGGGCGTCGACGTGTCTCTACCCGGTTTTTCGAGCAGCACGAGGTTCGCTCGTCTCCACTGCTCCGGAAACGACGCCTCTTCGAAACACGCGGTGTAGAGCGACGAAAGACGCAAACACATCACCCCGGCAGACCTGCCGAGGATCCGATAACGCACGCCGTTCAGGCCCGGAGTCGAGCGCTTCTTGGAGGCCTCGTCGAGGAGGATGCGAATCTCCCCCTCGGTGACTCGGTCACGTTCGCGGTCAAAAACGAAGTCCGCCGGAGTGAACGCGTAAGGCGTGACGCGAGGGAAGAGCTCCGCGATCACTTCGGCGAGAAACTCCCCCGTCATGCTGACCGTCAGCGGCCTTGACGGACTCCGCTGCTTCTTCGTCACAATGCGGAACGGAAAACCCCACGGATCCGAATCCACTTCGCTCAGGAGCTCCATCTAACTCTTCTCTCCTAACCCGCCACTCCGCTTTAAGCCCCAGCAAAATTGAGTCGGACATGATTTCATCGTAATACCCTCCGCGACGGAGGAGTTTCCTTTTCCTATCCCCGAACCGACGACGGGCGAGACAAGACTCCTTCCACAACTTTCCGATCTCGTCTGTTCATCAGTATTTTGGTCGCTTGCGCTCGTTTGATCGCGAACCGACCATCCTCATGCACGAATCCGAGATGCGCCGCAAATCGTCCCGCATTATTTGCGCCATCTCTTTGGCGTTATTTGTTCCCGAATCAAAATTGGGTCTTCGCCACGACTCCGCGGCGAGACACTCGACTAGCTTCTTTTCGTCCGTCGACCGCAGGCTCCACCGGGGCGGAACGACGGCGCGAGGCCCACCGAACTGAGAGGCAGCCCCCCCGAACTTCGAGGAGCCTCGAACGAGAACGCCAGGTAGGCGTGATCGCTCAGGGATTCGAAATCGGAGAGGACCTCCCAGCTGGAAACCCACGCCGCGGCCGCGAAGGAAGAAACCGTGAGATCAATCGCGGACTCGCCGGTGGCCCACGGGCAAGTTTCAGCCCCCATCTGGTTACGCACGGCAAAATGACGCGAATCGAACCACTCCTTGAGGAGTCGGCCGCTCGCGTTGTTCCCGTACCCCGACCAGGAAACATGTTTCGCGTTGAAGTCGCCGCGGACGCGAATGGGACGGGACCCCCCCCCCGAACTGATCGATCTCCCTCGCGAGCGGGTGCAAGAAATTCTCGAACTGGCTGACGGAACGATTCGGCGACGCGTAAGCAGACACCAGAATCGCGTTTCCCCATCCGACCAGAACGAAACCTTCCCCCCCGACAGCTCTCGAGGCCTCGGCGTCCGAACCGAGTTCGAAAAAAATATTGCGGCCGCACCGCCCTTGGATCCGAAAGAAGAACCGTCGCGGCTTTCCCCCTTTTCGAAACGGCGTAGGGTTCCGAAATCATGACTACGTCGACCCCCCACTCGCCCACCTGATTGAGCAGTAGGTCTTGCGCCCCCCTGCAATGATTGAGATTGACTTAAAGAAACTTCCCCACTACTTTGAACTCTTTGAGTTACTTTGAACTCTGAGCAGAGCCATTCGTTCTCGGCTCGCACGAAGAAGCTCGCGTCGCACCATTTCCTGTTTGAGCACCCCAACGGTTGGCTTTGCCCCTGACCGAAGGCGCCCAGCACGAAGGGCCGTCCAACCGGTGGTTAGCCGGACGGCCGGCCTCCGCGTACGCGGTGCATCGAACGGAGTTTGCACAGTCACGCACCCGGTGCCCTGCCGCTCCGCACCTGAAGCAACGCTCCTGAGCTCCCTCGACCATCTCCTCGAATTTGAGACACCGCGCACCCAGGTGCCGGAGATTCAGACACCTGAAGCACACGGCCTTCCGCTTCGGCGGAAAAACCACCCGCGCTCTGACCCGCCCGACGGTCACCTTGCCCGCCTCGAAGAGACCGGACGTGGCAGCCGCGGGAACGGGGGCGATCCCCAGTCGCAGTCGTGCGCCCCCTCCAAGCGGAGGACGCACCAAAACGTCCGAGATAGAACATCCGCCCGCCCTAGACAGCGCGAGAGCGACGTCGTGCGACGTCGCGGACTTGCAGAGACCCTCGACCCAAAGGTCGACCTTCACGCGGGGCACGTCGCCGTGACCCCCATCGGCCTCACGACCTTCGAAAGCTCCGCGGCCAACTCCGCCGCCTTGGCCGCCCCGTTTTTCCCCTTGATCTCGAAGGCCCTCCCCCCATTCGCGGACGGACGAATCCTAAGGGAGTCGATTCCTAATTCGGTAAGATCCACGCGAACCCTCGCGGCGGCCAAAACGGCGTTTTAATTTTCGGTGCCGAAGCGGCAGCCGAAGCCGATTTCGGGTTTTTCCCTTGGGACTAAGATGGCTCCTGCACGTCCTTCCGGGAGGGAGCAGGAGCGACTTCATTGACTTTTTTCCTTCCGTCTGTAGCGACCCGCTTCGCGCTTTTTCCCCCCTTACGCAACCGCACCACGACGAAGCCGTCCTCAATGGCTCTTTCGCCGTCGTCTTCGTCACGGACGCGAATGTCGGCATGAACGACCTCTCGGATCGCAGCGCCATCGGCGAGGTGGCCGCGTCCCGGGACGCAGTCACCTCTCCCGCGTTCGCGTTCGACACTGCCGACCCTTCCGCGCCCGAGTCTGAGGTCACCCCTAGATATTTCAAGATTCCCCCCATCCTTATTTTGCTGTCCTCCAGCCTTAATGCCAGATTCCGCGAAAGCGGGTTCCACGAGCGATGAAAACCGCAGGCTTTCGTTTTCGGTAAGCACACCCGCAGACCGATGCCACGAATTGCCTCTACCGTTGCACCCAAACCTAATTCAGCGCGCTCTCGAGCCTCGGCTCAATGACGACCGATCGCCGGCAGAAGAGTGTCATCCGCGTAACACGTGATCGATACACCTTCAGGACGAACTGTTCCGGTGGGAACGACATTGTAGGCAGTGTTTTACAGCAGTGGTCCAAGGACCGACCCCTGCAGGACGCCGCAGAAAACGTCCACCCGGAATCCACATTGGTACGAGGAAAGATCATATCTCTTATCCCCATTTTAAGGTTCGCGACAATCCGCGACCGAAGATGCGCTCAAACAACTTGCCCTAAACATCAAGAAGACAGATTGGTCGATACGTATTACGTGACGACGGATCGAGGTTCGCAGACATACGGTGTAAAGTACCGAAAGGCGCGCACCCATAACTTCAGCAGCCTTGCCAAGCTGTCCGCTTCTTCACAGCCGCATCCAGGAGACCCAGATTTCACACGCCGAAACCTCCTCGCAGTCTTCCCCCACCCGAGTCTGTCTTCGGGAACGCAGACGGCTCGACACGTGGAAAAACTAGCCGTCAATGGCCCCGACGAACCCCGCAGTTTATTCATTACCAGTTGGAACGGAAGATCCCACGAATACGAGTCCGCCTCCCTCAAGAGCCTCCTACGAACACCTCTTACGTCATAAGTTCATAAGAAATTTTATTACTTTTTTTTTTTATATTATGGACTTATTAAAAATAAAATAAAAAATTATTTTACTAATTAACATAATTTATTTATAATTTATGTATTTATGTATATATTTATTTATTTAAATAAAAATTCATAGAGAACCAACATTTTATTTAAAAACCCTGATTTAAATAATAATAATAATAATAATAATAATAAAATTAATAAATTTTCTCTTATTTTAAATAAAACAATTATCATTATTAATATTATCAATAAGTAAAAAATAGTCTGTGGAATATAATTAATAAAAAGTCACGACCTGATTATTAATAATAATAAAAATGGCAGAAAAATTTATTTTATTTTTTAATATATATATAAACACTATTTTATTAATTATTATTATTATTATTATTATTATTACTATAAGTATTATTTTTATTATTAATTGCTACCGGTAATACATAGATTTAAGTGCACTTTTTAAAAAAAAAAGAAACTTCATTTTCGAATAAATAAGATTGTCTTTATTTATTTATTTAAAAAGGAAAAATTATTAATATTATTATTATTATTATTAATAACGGTAATAATAAATTGTGCGAATTTTTATTTATATTGGCAATTATTATTATTATTATTGGTTTATATTAATTAAATATATAAAAATATTATCAATATCATTGTTATTATTATTTATTTTCAATTTTTCTCCTTCTAACGTTTGGCATACATTTTGTTCGGTTTGTTTATTTAATCTAAAGAAAAATTTATTTATTTATTTACTCTATGAAATTTAATAACACTCTACGTATATATATATTTCTTTTAATAATTAGTACTACCGTTAAAATTATAATTTTGTTCCTATCTCTCTCACTTCCTCTCTCTTTCTCTCTCTTTTTAATTTCGTTTTAACACGTGACTTTTTTCTAGTACCACTTTTTAAGAGGTCGCGCCTTTTATTTACAACAATCGAACGGATTTATCAAACCGTCGATTCTCGTTCGATGTGTATAAACTCCACAGACTGTCTCGTTTGTCAGGATGACATTGTAGAATCAGGATCGAGTAACAAATCATCCGTTAATATCCTTCTCGGTCCATGATTGTTTTTATATCCTGTGGTGGTTCTCCCACCGCCTTGAATATTATTATTATTATTATTACTTTTACGATTTCTAAATTTAAACGTTATGAATATTGATAGGAATAAACAGAAAAATGTTATTATGGCGGCGGAAGCACCCAAAACGGCATACATTCCACCAGGTATGAGGGTGATAAATTTATGAGCAACTCCGCAGTGTATTTCGGATTCGTCGAAACCCGATGGACAATTATGTCGTCCATCGCACCACAATGATTCGCTTATGCAAGCATTTAATTCTGGACATTTATATTGGCAATCCCAAGGCAATGACGTATTCGTATAATTTTTCCCTATCAAATCCTCCATGTGATGTTGTTTCAAATAACTTCTTCTCGTTCTTGATATTTCCAACCAATTGACTTGTGCCACGCCTTTTTCAAAACCAATAAATTCGATTATAAAACTCGGTGGACGCGGTGGTTCCAAATGAAAAATTGGACCGTTTTGAGACGATGATGATGATGGTATCGATGGAGTTGAATACCATTCTTCGGAAAATATATGTACGGCATATGGACGTGAATTTGGTTTTTGCGGACAAACGATACGTAACAATCTGAAACAAACAAACAAACAAACAAACCGTAAAAAATATTCAATAAACAAAGAGAGAGGAAGGGGATGGAGAGAAAAATTTTATTATTTTTTTTTTCCTACGAAAAATATAATAAATTTATTTATTTTTATTATTATACTTCTTCTGCCACGACGATACGTTTTCCACATTTAAAGTCCACACATTTTTTAAAACTCACGTTTTATATTAAATAAAAAAAAAAAAAAAATTTCAACTTTAACCTTTTTCCTTAAAAAAAAGTTTTTTCTCGTCGTCAAGAATTTTAAATTAAATTAAAATGTGAAAATCGACGTGATTTTATTTATTTATTTTTGTTTAGACAACAGCAACAGCAGCAGCAGCAGCAACAACAGCAATAGTAATAAAAAAATGATTTCTTTCTCTCTCTCTTTCTCTCTTTTTATTTTTTTAAATTATTTAATTTACGATGGGAAAAGAAAAGAAGAAAAAGAAGAAGAAAAAAAATTGTTTTATGAAATTAAATAAGGGCAAAGAAAAGAAAGAGAGAGAGAGAAAGAAAGAGAGAGAGAGAGAAAGAAAGAGAAAAAGAGAGAGAGAGAGAGGAAGAGAGAAAAAAAGAGAGAAAGAGAGAGAGATGAGGGTCAAATAATATGAAAAAGATTTTTACGATTTGAATTTCCCACGTACAAAAATTGTTGTTTTTCCCCTTTCCCCCTCCTTCCCTCCTTTCCCCCTCCCCCTTTTTGGAAAAATTTTCCATAAAATAATTAACCAAAAAATTAGTTTCAATTAAATTCCAGGTCCGAAACCGCCACCGCCACCGTCACCTTTTACTTTGTTTTAACGGGGCCCTAAAGGTTAATTAATAAAAAGTTTTACCGCGCACACACACACACGCATCATCCTCTCTCTCTCTCTTTCTCATCAATCTTTTCCTTTACCTGATATCTCATCCCTTAAACAACAAAAAAAAAAAGGATTTTATAAGAATAAGATTATCAATAATTAATTTTTAACGCTTTTGGGACTTTTTTCTAAACCTTTTTAATCTGTTGTTGTTGTTGTTGTTGCTGTAGCTGTTGCTGTTGTTGTCGTCGTAACAAAAGGATTTAAAGTTGGAAAAGTTTTTCGAAACAAAAAAAAAAAAAAAAAGGGTTAAATTTGAAAACGTTTCCAATTAAAATCTGCGGGGTAAAAGTTAATCCCTTGAGAATGATAAGGTAAAAGGTTTTATTACACACTTTTTACCCGTGATAAAAAAGGGGGGAAGGGGGTTTTATTAATGATAATAATAATAATAAGTAAATGTTATTCAATTACCTCGCCGGTTGTCCGGAATAAATCAATATTCTATTTTTAGTCGGACATTTTCCCAAATCATCCGGATTCGGATCGAAATCCATGAATGTACCCCAAGTCAATAAAAACAAACTCATGTTTTGATAACCCTCAACGAGCCATGGAACCCCCTGACAATTGATATCCATATTTGTTGTGGGTGGATAAGAAAATGAAAATTCACCCCCGGAACCACCAACCCTTTGCCTCCTCGTACATTCTGGACTTTTTATCAATTCGAATTTAGCATTGAAATATAAATTTAAAAAATCATCAGTCGTGTTAAATTTAGATATTTTAAAATGTATTTCAATTGCTTTCGATGAGAATTCCATGACTAAGGACCGTTCGTTTGTCGTATTGTCACAAAAACAAGAATGTGGAATGATTAAATTTCTCCAGGGAGATGTAAATATCGAAAGTTGTACGATTCTATCCGAATTTATATCTCGTAAACATTTCGACCTTTGACTGTGCGGATCGATAGTTGTTAAACACGTGTTATCACCACCACCGCCGCCACCGAACGACGCGTTCAATATGGTCAATTTAACACGTTCGGACGGAGAACCTTCGATCCTGTATATGCATGATAAATTTTTAGCTCCACCTCTTCCGTAAAAGAAAACGTTACGGGGTGAACGTATGAAACCTTTTTTTTTACGACGATAAATTCTCAAACATGGCGAGTAATCTTCGGTTTTTTTAACGTTCCACTGTTCTCCACCTAATCTCGTATCAACAAATTCGTATTTTAATTTAAAAGACACTGGATGTAGGGCGGTACCTTTAACTGAAAAAGTTTGAACCATTAAATCAGGACCTGGAACGAAAAGCAAAAAAGTTATCAAATTAAATAAAACTTAAATAAAACAAAAACTTTTTATTATTATTATTATTATCATCATCATCACCTAGCGAAAGGTAACTTTCACGTAGAGAACATGGCCGCGTTGTTCTTGTTTCGTTCGATAAAGATGAATGATCGCAAAGTTTTGGTAAATCGAAATTACAATATTCTCCCAATGCAAACGAATGACTCGCTTTTCCTCCACCATCCCATATTCTTAATCTCGTTGTACAATTCATGACGTCACTTAACACTAATCTATTATTTTTCGTTTCCGGCGTTTTGGGTTTTTTTTCCGCTGTTGGTCCCGTGTCTTGAGTATCTTGTATAGGTATCAACGCTTCGTAAAAATAACTGACGAAATATATCCATACCAAATCTCCAGGCATTCCATTGAAACGCCACGTGCAATTCGTGTTGGGTGGTAAAGTGTGACGTGGACTTATTATATAACCAGATCTACCTTTTGATTTTAATGCTATTACGTCACCATCCGGATTCGTGGCGTTTATCCAAAAATGACACCTTTCGCGTAAAGAAAAAAATGATTGGAAAATTCTTTTAAAAAGAAAAACTAAAAAATGAAAATGATTTTTACAAACTTTTTAGATTCTCTGACAAAATCTAATGAATCGGAATCGGCAAAAACGACATCGACATCAAGTTCGAATCCTCTAAACGGATATTGATTGTTTAATGTCGATTGAAATGGAACGCTGAACGGTGTCGAACGGAAAACGATGAGCATTTCCGGTCCTCGTGACGTCACTTTTGGTAGCCAATCACCCCCGCAAAATTTAACAAGTATCGGATCATCCGTTGATGAACCGTCGTAAAAAATTAAATGATCTCGACCTTCTGAACAATCGTTCCATGTGTGTAATTCTCTTGTTTTGTTCATCGAAGCAACGACTGGAGATCTCTGAATAATTAAAATTAAATCGATTTTTCCAGAATAAAAAATAATAATAATAATAATAATTTCAATGAGGTTGGTTGTAATATGAAAAAAAAAATTAATAATAAACTTTTCTTTTTATTTTATCGTTTATTATTATTATTATTATTATATTTTTTTACGGGCGTTAATTAAAATTAATAACGTCTGGAGAAAAATAAAAAATAATTTTCAAGTGTTTTTTTTTTTGCCTCCCCCTCCCTCCCCCCTTATCCGTGTTAATAATAATAATGAAAACTCCTTTTTCCGGTTTATAATTATAAATTTTATTAATGATGATTATAACGAATGGTTTTAATAATGATAATGATAATAATGGGGATAATGAAAGAAATTTAAGAGGGAATTAAATTCCAGAAAAATTTTGCGGTTTTTTTTTTTTTTTTTGGGAAAAATAAAAAACGCCCCAAAATCGAAAGTGAAAATTTTTAACGCCCTTAAATTTCCGGTTGAAAAAAATGGGGAGGAAAAAATTATTATTATTATTATAGGTTTATTAATTTTATCCAAAAGTTTTCCCAAAAGGGTGGGAAAAAAAGGTCGCGTGGTGAGTCGTGGAGAGATCTTCTCTGGAGAATTCGAAAAAAGAAATAATAATAATATTACTCACCTTTATTTGAATTTTATATGAATTTTCTTGTTTGACGGAAATCATCGCGTGTTTACATGTGGGTACGATTTTTTGTCTCAAATTTAAATAACACGTAACGTTTCTCGGATACATTCCAGGAAAATTTGGACTTTGAAGACGGCATTTTTTTTTAGAACATTCGTAAAATATTCTACTGCAATAAGTACCCGGTACTGGTTCTCCACGTTCGAGCGGTTCAGACGGATTTCCATACCTTACGACGGCCTTACGACAAACAAATAAAATTTCATAACCCATCCATAATTTTCTCCAAAATATAAACGTTCCAAAACAAAAAAAAAACTATTCACCTCGTCATCTTTTAAAAAACGATATCGGATTTTAAATAAGAAATTTGAATTTTCGTAAAAGTGAAAAAATTTAATGGTTGCCGTTATTGTACTCGTTTCTGAATAATATATTGGTAAACTTGTTGCAAATCCACACCAGGATCCTCCAGTAAATGGACGTCCCAATTCCATAATTTGCATGTAACCATTTGGACAAGCATCGTAAGAATATTCATTATATTTTCCTATGTGGAAAGAATCGAACAATAACTGAAAATTTAAAAAAAAAAAAAAAAAAAAAAACCGAAAAGTTTAACGAAATGACCTTTTTTTACAAAAAAAAATTATCCTTATTCCTACCCTGTGTCGTATATAAAAAAAAAAAACGTTGTCGTAATAATATATTCAAACCACGTATATAAAATTTGAATTTTGCGGTTAACGGTTAAAGTTAGTTTATATAAAAACCTTTTCATTATTTCTTTTTAATATCATATTTATATATATATATATATTTCTCGTAGATTTTCACAAATGAAAAGAGAGAGAGAGAGAGAAAGTAAATCTTAGTGAATAAAAACGGATATTAAAGGTAAAGTGAAAAAGGAAATCATAGAGAAATGAAAAACTAGAAAAAATTACATTTATATATAAAAGTCGTTAACCGTTAAAAATGATGATAAAAGGAAACGATAATTTTTTTTTTTTAAAAAAAAGCAGAAGAAAAAAGCAGAAAAAAACTACATTTGATAAAAATTGTTTAAAGTTTTTTTAATTTATTAATTAATAATTAATAATAATTAATTTTTTTTTTTTTAACTTGACGATAAAACGTACGAAAAAATCATAATAAATTTTAACGAGTTTTACGGTACGGGGAAAAGAAAAAAAAATATGGCGGATAATATGGCGGATTTTTTTAAAAAAAAAAAAAAAAAATTTGTAAATAAAAAAAACTTTTATGTAAAATTAAATTAACGACACGGAATCAAAATATTTTTTTTTTTTTAATAAATTAATTTAAAACGCGAAATTTATCGAGTTGCGTCAATGTCACGCCATCAATTTTAATAAAGGTTATTTAAAATAGTCGTGGCAGGAGAAGGAGGAGAAGGGGAGGATGGGAAGTGGTAAACGACGATCCTTCCACCTCATTCTTACGTCATATCGTGTTTATGTTATATTTGTACTTGACATTTTTCCCGTTTTGTAAATTGTCATTTCTTTAATTAATTAATTAATTTTTTTTTTAAATATCGATTCGTTATTTATACAAAATCGATTTAAATTTTAACGTTTTATTCATTTTTAAGGTTTTTTCTTTTTAAGGGTTAAAAAATAATAAAAAAAATTTCCCTTCGTTAATTAGATTAGTTTTTTCTTGACTACGGAAAAGTAATTAAATTACAAAATATATATAATTTAAAATCTAGATTTGAGTTTTGAATGTTTTCTTTTTTTTTTAAAAAACAACACTTTTTTTTTTATTAAGTTAACATTTTAAATAAAATCCTTTAATTATTTTTCAAACAACAAAAAGAAGAAAAAGGACGAGAAAAAACTTTCTTTCTTTCTCTCTCTCTCTCTTGTTAAATTTATGTAAATTGAAAATGTCGGACGACGATTAAATTATATAAAATAATTTAATTACACGCATGCGCAATTTAATTAAACGTTTTTTATTCATTTTTTTTATGAGTGAATTTGTTTTTAAAAAATATATATAAAAGTTATAATAATAATAATGATAAATTTTATTCAATCAAAATAAAAAAAAGGGGGGCGGAAGACGAAAACAAAAACCGTTTCGACGTTTAAAAAAATTATAAATAATAAACTTACCCAAAAACTTAATTATAATTATTATAAAGATTTAAAAAGTAAATTGAAGAAATGAGTTTTTCTTTTTATAACGAAACATTTATAATAAAAATATTTTAATTTAAATCCAAACGCGAAAATAATGAATTCAACAACAGAAAAACAAAACTAATCAAAATCAACGTTTTCGAACGCGCGACGGTTACGATTTTATTTTTACTCTTTCCATCTCCCCTCCCCCTCCGCCTTTTTCCAAAAATTAATTTGCAACGTGATAAAAAAACCTGTCACTGCCTCCAATATTAGAAAGATTAATTGATACATAATAATTGATTTTCGTTTTTTGAGGATCGCGGAGGCTGTGACGTGACGTCATAATCGTATTTAACGGATTTTAACGGTGATATATAAATATACGAAAAGGACGCGAATTTATATTTCATAAAAAAAAAAAAAAATTTTTTTTTTAAATTTTATTTTGGTCACGTAATAAATTATTTAATCGGTTGACCGTAAATATAATTTTAGACGTTAAACGTTTTTTTTATTATTATTATTAACAAAGTTTTATTATTGGATTATATATATATATATTTGATATTAAATTTGAAAGAGGTTGAAATCGATTGGAAAACGATCGTTAAATTTTCAAACGTTTTTTTTTTATGTTTTTCACTTGTAGTTTTTTTCAATATAATAATAATAATACACGAGTGTACATAAGAGAATTTTCATGGGGGATCCCGAAGGTAAGAAATTTCAATTTTTTTCCTTAAAAATCTTTTTTTTTTTTTTATTCGTGCACATTTTAAACGTGACGTAATGGATTGTATAGATTCGATACGACAAATAAATGGCGGGAGGGGAGAAAAAAAGGAAAAAAAAGGAAAAAAAGGAAAAGAAAAGAAAATCTTTTTACCTTAATCTGTTAACCCAACATTTAAATTTTTTTTTTTTTTTTATTCAAATTGAACGCTTTATAAATATTTTATTTTTATCCAAATGTTTTTTTTTTTTACCCCCGTAAGGGCCCCTCATTTTTTCCATTTCTACCTTTTACTCATCTTTCTTTCATTTTCACCGCCTTCGCGTTTTTTTTTTTTTTTTTTTTTCGTTTTCACAATAACGTAATATTTCCATTGACGTCGACGAAAAGGAAAAGAAAAAATCGGATTTTTCATTTTCAATTTATATCGTCAAAAAACCCCGATTTATCATTACCATAAAATTTAAATTTTATTATTGCGAACGTGAATAAAAAAGGAAAACTCATACTAAACCTACGACATCGGAATACTTATTTCAACAATAGATAATACGAGGTTAAAATGCTCTTAGATCTGTGAGAGAGAGTGAGAGAGAGAGAAACAAAGTGGAAGCAGAATAAATAGAAAGAGGAAAATAATATGGGAGAAAAGTGGTAGAAGAAATGGGGGGGGGGAAACGAATACGAATCGGTTTTAGTTTACTTTGGATTTTTCTTCTATGTGTGTGAATTATGTTTTTCTTTGTTTCATGTTTTTAAATATTATTATTATTATTATTATTGATTCTTATTAAAAGTTTTTCAACGAACGAACGTGTTTAGATTTTATTTAAAAATCAGGTCAAATTATTTTAAATGGAAGCAAAAAAAAACAAAATGTCTTTCGAAAAACTTGTGGAAACCAAAAAAAAAAAAAAATTTTTTTTTTATTCCCGTTCACCCGAGGGTAACATTAGAACGTTATGTGTATAAACCAAAGGGCCGTTCGGTGTGTTACGTAAACCTCCATCACGTCATAATCGAGTTTGGTAAAATTTTTTTTCTTCTGCTTATTTTTCAAACGTCTGCTACTCTATTGCCGGATACATAAAAAAAAAAAAAAAATTCCACGAACGTAACAAAAGCTGAACGAGGTTGAAAGGAAACTTTTTTTTTTTTTTTTTTTTTGGAAATATCGATTTCGTTTTATTAAATTGTTTTCTTTCTTTTTCTAACCGAAATTTTGATAGTAGATGATCGTCTTCCATCTTTTTTTTTTTTCTAAAGTTAAATGAACTTTTTTCTTACCTGTATAAAATCACCGTAATTGTGTCCGTTTGCTGTAAATGTCAGATGACATAGAAAAGGTAAACGATCCGAACGTGGTTTTGGCAATTCTAATTCGTAAGTCGTACCAACATCTCCGTAATACGTTCTGTTGCAAGCTGAAACAAAAACAAAAAAATAATAACAACCGGAAATACGTCATCAAAAACGTCACATCGTTCTTATTTTTCACGTTTCGATTATTTTCAAATAATAATAATAAAATAAATTATTAATTAATAAATTTTCGTTTTTCATAGAGATAAAAACAAAAGGAAATAGTTTATTTTTAAAAATTTTAACGGTTCGTTTAACGTTTTTCTTTCTTTTTTGTTTTTTTCATTTATTTTAAAGATTTAGTCACAATGATCAACATCAGACATGTTTATTATCTTTTGTTTTATTTTTCCTCTCCATTTATTTCAAACGGTTTTCTTTCTCCCATCTTTTTTTTTTTTTTTTTTATAAAAAAGAAAAATCAATTTCCGTTTTTATTTTTCTTTCATTAAAAAAACAAAACAAAATAAAATATTTATTCTCATGTTAAACTTTAATGTAAATTTTATAATTAATATTGACGTCGTCGTGGCATTAGAAAATTTTAACTTTCTTCCCTTAAAATAATTTAGGATAAATCAAATTTAATTATTGTTGTTTGAAATCATGTTTGACGTTGACACACACATACACACACACACAGGACAAACACAAGTTTTAATTAGTTAAACATAATTATGTTACAAATTCATAATAATAATAAAACATTCTAGAAAATTATTTCTCTCTCTCACTCACTCACTCACTCTCTTTCTCTCTCAAAAAAAATTATAATTAATCAAAACAAAAAAAAGTTATCAAAACGTAATTAATAATATTTTTAAAAAATAAGTAAAAAATAATTTGATTTTACCTGTACAAAATGGCGGTTCATCTGATTTATCACCGCAATCGTTGATTTTGTCACAGTAACGATCCAATCGAATACATTTATTATTTTTACATGGAAATTCGCTTATTCTACATCCGGGAACCGGTTGGACGATTATAATACATTCGGACAGAATTAAAAATATTTTTAAAAACATCTAAAAACAACAACAAAAATAATTTATTTCGTTATTTAAAAAAAAATCCGCCATTTTGATTATTTACTTTTGATTATTACGTCACGAATAGAATCGGATATTATTTTTAATAAAAAAAAACCGTTAAATTTTATTTTATATACATAGAATATAAATTAATATTTTGACGTGGCTTTTAAAAATCAAATCGTGTGTTTATGTTTATTTACTCTATGGATTTTTATAATGATTTAATTTATTTAATGTTTATCTTATGTACGTTCGCGAAACTAAACTATTAACGATTTTTAAATTTTTTTTTTTTGTC